GTGCGAATTATGTATGACAGTCGTTGACTTACCAAAGAGGAGTAGTGGTGATATCCGCAGCAATCAACTGTTAGATCCAGAGATTTCGCAAAATCATTGAGGACATGGAGTCTGACGAACCTTCTAGGGGGAGGCCATGGTCCGATCGTGGGTACACTATTTCCGATGGTATACTTCATAGATATAGCTTAGAGTCAGACGATGGAGAAGAATGCTGTATTGTTGTGCCCGAACACGAACGCAGGCAAGTGATGGCTGAACTCCACGACGCGCCTATGGCAGGACATTTCGGCGTGGAGCGCACTTTAGGCCGTGTTTCGCACTAGATATTATTGGACAGGTATGCGCACGTTCAGTACTAACTATATAAAGGGGGCTGCTGACCAGAGACGGCGATCGCCGCCAGAGTATAAGGTAGGCGATATGGTGCTACTTAAAACGCAGGGGCCGAACGATGCAGGACGTGGACAGACGGCGAAGTTAATCCCACGCCGGGACGGCCCATACAAGATAGGTAAGGTAGTTAGTCCCACTACGTACGGGTTAGAGAACGTACAGACCGGAAGAGATATAGGGAAATATCACGTTTCGCACCTCACGCCATTTACCGGCCAGATAGAGCCTCCCGTTAGGGAAAAACGTAAACGTGGTAGGCCGCGTAGATACCTAGACTAGCCCAACTGTGAGGACACTTAGTTAGGCTAGAGGGGGAGAGTGTAACGCGGGGTTTTTACAAACAACGGTGATCGCGGGGTATCGTGTCGGAACATGTACGATCCTGTAGGGCCGTGTTTCGTGCGATCGTATAGTTTAGGCGCCCGCGCCCCCCCGTCTCCCGCGAACGCGTGAGCGACGGCGTGGCTCGACCAGGCAGAGAGCCGCGAGCGCCGAACGCGTAAACATCCATATCATAACGATCCTCCACGACTCTCATTTTCACGCAGTTGTAAGATTTTATGTAATTTTTTGTGTAACTTCTATAACCATAAGTTTTCTTGTCAAACCTCAAGTGAAATAAATATATTTTAATAGACTGTTGTATACCTATTAAACAATTTATTTATGTAAATGAATAGTACAAGTTCTCACAATTCTGATATGACTTGTACACTATATAATAATAATTAAGTGTAGGTACATCGTTTTTTTGAAAATATTATTGAAATAGTCGTTATTATCGATACAGAGGCTGAATTTATAGTTTTTAGAATTTTTGTTCTGTTTGTATGTCTGGAATCGCATCACGAGAAACCACTGGATAGATTTTGATGAAATTTGGTATGACGATAGCTGTTTATCCGAGTCAACATATAGGACACTTTACTGCGGGAAAACATCTCATCTCTGGGAAAACTATACCTACTAAACGTTAAAACGTAACGTCGCGTCGTGTCGCTAGTTGTAAATAAAGTGTATAATGTAAAAAAAAAAAATTATAATTACAATATTATGGATTAACTTGGTTATATCTATGGACTCCAGGATAGTCTATCTGTGTACTAAATGTCATCAAAATCCATCCAGCCGTTTCGTGAAGAAACAAACAAACACACACACATACAAACTTACGCATTTTAATAATCAGATTCATTCATACTTTATAGGTAGAACTTAAAGGCTCTATAAATAAATTTACTTTGCCTAACGCCGCTAGTAGTTTTAACGTCGGTCGGCGATAAAATGTTGTAAATGAAAAGCTTCACTTCAGTTAGGTATTTCTTATATTTAGTACCTTGAAGTTACACAATAAAAAAATGTATTGAAATAACTAAGAAGGTGAATATTTTAATTTTATTTTATTATATTTAAATGTATAAAAGAATGTCTATACTTCATATTATAAAGAGGTAAAGTTTGTGAATTGTGAGTTTGTGAGGTTGTAGGGGGTAATCTTTGGATCTACTTAACCGATTTAAATGAAATTTGGTAAGAAGATAGTTTGAGACCCTGGGAGGGACATAGGATACTTTTAATCCCGGAAGTCATCCCTTAAGAGGGTGAAAATGGGGATGAAAGTTTGTATAGGGAATCAACCTAAGGACGAACCCGAGCGATGCGAGGGTGAGTCGCTAGTTACCAAATACTTTTGTTTATATAATACGTAATTCAATGTCACCAGTCATGTCACGTGTGCACTATGCATACTGAGCTCGATAAAATAAATTCTACAAAAAGGAATATTAGTTCAAATAAGTAATAGGTAAACTTAATTATATATTTTATTATTTTTCTATACTAATATTATAAAGAGGTAAAGTTTGTGATCTTGTGAGTTTGTGAGTTTGTGAGTTTGTGACGTTGTAGGGGGTAATCTCTGGATCTACTGAACCGATTTTCAAAATTCTTTTACCAATAGAAAGCCACGTTCTTTCTGAGTGTCATAGGCGTCGTCATAGTCGGTGTGCTTTGGCTAAGTAATTAAAGCCTACCTATTAAATACATACCTAATCAAATATTTTCGAAATCGGTGCCAGCCCATACAAAGCAAAGCACACCGACTTCGAAAATATTTGATTAGGTATGTATAGTAAATGAAAACTACCAATCAGTTATTTTTTACTTTTTAGTGCTTTTGTTTGAAGTCGGTTTTTATTTTTTTGTTATTTATATTAAAAAAATCATTTAAATCGGTAGGTCATGTTTATTGGTCATATTATCAACAATTATGAATTCTTATCAAAATAAGTAAATTTAGCGTCTAAAATGTTTAAAATAAAAGACTTTTCCCTTTTACTGCATATAATTTGGACAAATGGTTAAAGAGATAATACAACATATTCGTATGTATGGACGAACCCAAGCGAGCTGTTTATCTGTTTTTCTCTTTGTACGGGCTAATCTCTGGATCTATTGGACCTATTTAAATGAAATTTTGCATGGTGGTACCTTATATCCCCGGGCAACATCTTAGATACTTTTCATCTTGGAAAATTAAAGGGTTCCCGTGGGATAGTTAAAAATCTATAACAACTTATACATCTTAGCACACAAAAACTACTCATTGGATTTTAATGAAACTTTACAATAATATAGTTCATATATGACAAAAACAAATCAGCTACTTTTCATCCCGGAAAATTAAAGAGTTTCCGTGGGATAGTCAAAAAATTATAGTAACTTATACAGCTTAGTACACAAAAACCACTGATTGGATTTTGATGAAACTTTACAATAATATAGTTCATACATCAGAATAACAAATAGGTAACTGTGTATCCCGGAAAAAATTACTTTTCCCGTGGGATAGACGTTTTTGTTTATTTGTAACGTATTATGTACACAACATAGACTCCAAAACAATAGTTATTAAAAAAATTGCCTGTTTGTCTGTTTGCCTGTATGTCTGTTTGTCTGTTTTTGTGTGTGCGTTTCACGCGAAAAGTAATGTAACAATTTCAACGAAATTTGGTGAAGTGATAACTTATTACTCGAGTCAACATTTAGGGTATCTTTTGTATGTATGTATGTATGTATGTATGTTGTATTCAGCCCTTTTTAACACACGCACGGGCCTCCCTTCAGTACGAGGTGGATCAGGCCATAGTCCACCACGCTGGCCAATATCAGAGGTGCTAGACCCGGGATTTGAACTTGCTTCACTCGGTTTCCCAAGCGAGCGCGTGACCACTGGGATACCACTGCCTAGATACCTTTTACTTAAAGAAAATCTTTCTTTCCCACGGGAAAATACAATTACTGGTTTTATCCAGTCCTCCCTAAAAACCTTCCTCTGACTACGCCTTAAGACATACATCAAAACAATATACTAAAAAATTGTAGGTCTTGAAAAGTCCTACAGAAAAGTTCTGAATAGTATATGTCTATCTCCTAAGTTAAACTCGCAATATTTATTCTTATCTATACCTATAATAAAACTTAGTCAAACCTTGAGAGATAGATCAAAACATTGTACAAGAAAATTGTAAGTCTTAAAAAGGTCTATAGAAAAGTTCTAAATAGTAAGTATATGTCTATCTCCTAAGGTACACTCGCTATAACTACATTTTCATTATTATATTTTTGTTACTTTTTTATTATACGTTACTACGTTGTGTACTGTTTTATTATACGTTATTTATTCTATCTGACATATATGAATAATAAAACTGTAGAGGTCGAATGTCTGTACATAGATGGTAGAAAAAATTGCTAAAAAACGAGTCAGTTCTCTTCTTACATCCCGGAAGGAGAGAAATAGAACAAATCCAGATTTTTTTTTAAATTTTTTGTTTCTTTGTCTGTTTGTCTGTTCGTACGGGCTAATCTCCGATACTATTGAACCTATTTAAATAAAATTTGATACTTTTCATTCCGGACAATTAAAGATTTCCCGTGGGATAGTTAAAAAAATATAGTAACTTATACAGCTCAGTACACAACAACTTATGCACCTAATTTAGTAAATTTTGGCATGCTGATACCTTATATTGCAGGTCAAACAACAGGTTACTTATTTTTATCCCGGAAAAATGAACGGTTCCCATGGGATAGATCTGTTTGTGCTTTTCTAGAGGTGAACCCGAGCGAAGCGAGGGTGAGCCGCTAGTATTTAATAAAATAAAATTACAAAGAACAGTTTTAACATATTTATAATATTCTTAACGTAAAGACTTAACATGTAGGCACATTGTAAATTGCATGCTTAGTAATGTAATTAGTTAAATTACTGAATTTCATTTGCTGGCATGCTAAAATTAAACATAATAAATTTAACTTAAACTCAGATTGCATGAACAAACTCTTATTTTTCTATACATATACATGAGTCACAAAGTCTTAGTAGAAGTTGCTTAAACTGTATTTTTTCTTCATTAACATATAAATTAAGTGAACAATGTTACATACAAAGCTGCTTCACTCACGTACCAGAATGCAAACTACCTACCGTGAGGTTTGCTTATCTTGTAGAATAATGCATTTTCAAGAACGCAAATCTTACTTAAGTACATACTGCGAGTCACAATATTACAATTTTTTATAAAGGAAAAAAATTATTTTTATTTAGTTAGTGAATAAATTTGTCCAGTTAAAGGGTCGACAGCAAGCGATGCTGGTAATTCTGCAGCTATATCTGCTAGTGCTTCCCACCGAGTAGAACGACTACATTCTGATAGACTAGGGCTCACTACCTCATCTATATTTTCCTCCTCTTGCCTACAAAAAATAATATGCAAGTTTGTGAAAAAGTAGTAAAAAGTATGGACAAATTATAACACCTTTGTATGTTTTAAATAAAACTATCTTTTCGGATTTTTTCGCGAATTTATTTTGATTTTTGGTTCCCGACGTTTCGAATGCCTTACAGCAATCATGGTCACGGGAGAAACTGAGGTGTTAGATGTCTCTAAGGTATTATATAGTTTTAGTTTTTACAGATAGCCTACCCACAATTAACAAAATGAATTCAAAAATTGAAAAATGGCATAAAGATAGTTTTATTTAAAATGTCAAGTATTCGCGTAAATCTAAGAAAGTATTACCTTTGTATGTATTAACGTATAGGTACGAAATGTATGAAAGATCAAAGGACCATTTCACTGTACGGGACGCTTTTAATAGGTACGTATTATGGAAGTCCAAACACATAGTTTGGGGTTTGAAAGCACATACAAAAAATATAGATATTAACTGGCATATTGTGTTGGGATGAAGTCTACATACGTTTACGTAATAGTTTTTTTACGCAGCCGCCTCTTATATGCAGACTGGTCACAAGTAGCCGTAAGATAGATACTTATCGTTATATCTACATAATATGCCGGTAGCTAATGGATGTAATTTTGATGATAATTTCATGCCACATAGTATAATAATTGATTTTTGAATATATCTAGCTGAGTTTCCGATTTCTATTCATTTTTAAGAAAATACTTAGTAAGTGAAATTTTGAGAATTTGAAAATTTTACCTACTAATATGTGGTAGGTAATGAAAGTATCAGTGAATGTTAAAGTTCAAACAATTTCCTAAATATTGTATAAAAAGTATTGTATAAAAACTTACTCAATTTCTTTTAATTCTTCGACATATTGATGTTCTTGGGGTTCAGTAACTTCTTCCGCTACTGTTTCTTTACTGTCATCGAGGCTGATCATGTCTGCAGGAGCACTTAACACATTTTGTTTATCCTCTAAAATATTATCTAAAATAACTTGTTCAACCACATCTTTTAATGTTGACATTTTAGTATCAATTTCTGTTGCTTCATTCACAGAAACCATGTTTTCATGAGTTAATTTATTATTTTGTTGGTCATCTGAAATAAATATATTTTACTTAATATCCTATTGACGGTGAGCAGATGTTCTATTAGCAAGTCTCAGAAGTAACTTCAATTTAATAATATTTGCATTAAAAGTAGGTAAGTATACGCCAAAGTTTTAAGTATATGGCAATAAAATAATTAGAACTATTCCTTTAATGTACAGAGTTATTTTACAGTCCTTAGTTCCGAATACCACTAACTACCGCCAATGTGGAAGTTAGAAAATTTACTCTAACTTATAACATAATTACAGATCATATTTAAATAAAAACACACATAAAGTACGTACTGCACATTAAAAAAAAATAACAACAAAGAGAAACAAATTGACTTCTAGAGTAGGTATACCTAGCAAACCATATTCTTAACAAGATTTTTATAGAAAGGAAAATACTTATTTTGTGGATAAGTGTTAATTTTAGTGTAAAGCGTTCACGGGGGTGAAACACCGCCAACTTCCCAACTCCGGGCTGTTACTGAGACTTACTATACAGAAAGACTGAATAACTAAACTTGGCCCGACCCGGGACTCCAACCCAGGACCTCCGGGTGTGCAGCCGTATATGCTAGCCCCTACACCACTGAGGCAGTTAATAAAATAATATTATAACACTGAACTTATTAATTTACTGATCTTTCTCGTGTAGAGTAAAAACTACTCAAGAAATGTACGTATCTAATATCTTAACTCTCATCTATTTCTTGATAATATATTCCGAGCCTAAAGTGCACTTCACTTAGATATACGTGCTTATGATAGGTGATTAAGTAATAGGTACTAAGTTAGGTAATATAGCAATTCATGCGAGCAGAAAATTGTTAGTTAAACGACTCCATTCAACAGAACATAGCAATTAGTGCTGAAATATAAACAACAATAATAAAAAAAATCACTAAATAGCCGCACGGCACTAATATATTTTAATTTGATAATGTTGTTTGGAAAGATATAGTCTCACGTGTGACGTGAATACTTATAGTTGAAACATTTACAAAAGCACATAAATGGGTTGATGGTGAGTTTATACTTGAATATTTACATAGTTAAATATTCAAATGTCACCTCATGCCACTTTTTTACTTCTATTCTAACATTTTTATTCAAATAACCTGTCGACTGCTTTCCACATTAAAAGCTTTTTATGTATATGTAATTTTATATATAGGTAACAATTAAAAATAACTACACTTACTATGTTAAATAAACAGGAGAATAGATTAAGCTTTTTATGGCATAATATTAACACAAAATTTGTATGATTGTAATAATTCAAGTACACACCACCCCCATAGAAGTTTAAGCATTCACGGTAGATGATTGATTGCTTATTTAGATAAGAAATAAAGTGTTCAAGCGCCATAATATTAATAGCCAGCATTAACATTTATTGGATAACGAAAAAAGCGACAGTAGAGTACCTAAGCTTGTGATTACATACCATTCTCTACTTGTTGATTTGAAATATTTATAGAAGAATTATTTCTAGCTAATTGTATATTATCATCTAAATTATCACAAATGGGAAGCACTTTAATATTATTTAATACATTATCAGTATTTACATTTTTTTGGTTCTCATTTACTTTTTCATCTCTTGTTTCCAAATTTTTATTATCATCTGCTTCATCTGAAATCAAAGGTGCATTTTTTGCATATTAATCTGCAATGTAAATGTAGATTCTACATAACATTTACAGATATGTTAGTAGATACCTGCTGCGCGTATAGGTACATGCGCTTTGTTTTACTTGCTTCAGCAAGCTTATAAAAATCCAATTAAACTGTCTGATTTGCAAATAAATATATAATTTCCAAATATTAAGCCGAGATTTTTATTTAATTATAATAAAGAATTTGCACGATATAAAAAGCTTTAAGTTTTTGTTTGTTTGTAACTTTTTATTTCTGAATTTGTAGTGCTCTTGGACCTACTGGCCTTTACAGCTACACTGGGCGGCGAGGCAGACAGAAGGTCCTGCCTAGAAATTGTAGTTCCGCAAGGGCACCTCCTGCGAGGTTCGGACCACAGCTTACAAACTATCGGATGGACCTTTTGTCCTATAAGAGACGGCTTAGAATGACTCTCGAGGAGTCTACGACCGCCGACTATTTCTATAGATAGCATTAGCTAAAGAAAACCTATCGTCTGGGTCGGTCAGTAGGTCTGTTTGTTAGGTTCTTCTAGATGGCTAGTTAAGCCATCTATGTATAGATTTTAACAGTACTTTCATTACACATATTATATAGGTATTGTCATTTTATGAGCGTTGTTTAGGCTGTCATTTTATGATCTACACTCGTAAGTAAGTAAAAATAAATTATTATAATAAATTCTTCGAACAATCCCTGGAAAACATTTCACTTCCCGACAGAAAAGCTTAAAGTATACATATATGTAGATCATTTTATAGTATATATGTAGATAATCGTTCATTTGTCGTTTCACTTTTTTCTTTCTCTGCTTATTACATTGATAATTTTACTATCATTAAAGTTTTAAATTATGTAATGCTATCAGATTGCGATGCGAGTCAACTCCGCCTAAAGAAAGATTCTAAAGAGTAAGAGATTTAAGGTTCCCATATTTTGTTTATGATTTTTTTACACGAATTGGATAAAGTTTTTTTTTAATTGTTTTAATCAATAAATAAGTAAAGTTATGATAAGGTGTTCAATGTTGCCCAATAAACAAACAACAGGAGTCCCGTAAAAAGTTTAAATTCCATAATTAGCATTGACCTCTAACTGGTAAGTAAATGTTCAACCCTGAGTCAGGCGCTCGTTCGCGTTTTCGCATAGCTAATAAAAACAAAGAACTTCAAACACCAATTAAGTATAAATAAGCGGTGAAAATAAAATATATTTGTTTATAAAAATAGACGTCAATTAAAATTTAAATTTGAACAGGCTGAATTTATACCACGCTAAATTTTAGATTGTATTCTAATTGTACCTGTTGTATTTGTCTGTATGTCAGCCATGTTGGGAGCGCTGCTTGTGCAGCCCATGGTGTACAGAAGGATATTAATTATCGGCCATGCATGTATTAAATACCTGTTGTAATACAACTATGATACGGCTTTGACTAGCCGGCTACAAGAACTAAACTCGACTGCGCGCTCTACGAGATTGTATCGTTCATAGCCACGAGTGTTATGGGAGGAGGTAGCCCACTCATTTGACCTCGCACCCCCTTCGCGTTTTTCAAATTAAACGAGTGTAAAGCATTCTTCCACTTTGACGCAATTATTGTACTTATACCATAAAGGATTATCTTTTCTTTAACCCTTGTACGTGCCAACTTTTATTATATTCCATTAAAATATTAATAATTGTAATACGAACTTAATATGTTAAAACGGGATGTAAGTCTATTAATATACAAATTAGAGGGCAAAAGCCTCACAATATTAGCTCTAGGGCTCGCGTGATTACGACCTAATCTATAACTACTACAACCGAGTATAAAAAACTAAAATATGTAGTTTTGGGCAGCACAAGTACGTACATATATTTAAAGAAAATGTCTTAAATACTTACTTCTTGTAAGCGCCATTTAAAGGTTTTGATTTTATAATTAACTACTACTTATATAGATAAGAATTTCTTCTTATATACTTGTTTGCTTCTTAAAAGTCTGACGATAAAAATAGTTCTGATAATACCACATCAAGAATACCGTAAAAAGCTACCTTACTGAAATGGGGCTGGGCTGGTTACGACATCCGAATGCCAGATGATCTTTGAGCAAAACTAATAACTTCTTAGATCCCCCAGTCCTACACGGTACACTACAACGTGGTAGGCCCAGACGGCAATGGTTAAGTTAGGCTGGACTCCTTCCAGAGAGACTGGTCTATTACGGTGGATGATAGGGGGAAACGGAAGAAGAGAAAGGAGACTTTTCAACCGACTTCAAAAAGGAGGAGGTTCTCAATTCGACTGTATTTTTTTTATGATTGTTACCTCAGAACTTCGTCATTTATTAACCGATTTGGACAATTTTTATTTTGTTTGAAAGGGTATACTTCCAGATTGGTCCCATTTAAATTTCAAAAAAAAATACCACCCCTAAGGGTGGAAAAATAGCTAATGATGGATTTAACCTACTTCTAATTGTCATATTGACTTGAAACTTTGCAAGTGTTTCTATTTCCGTTGATAGTACAGTGGTTCGGTATTGTTGACCTGATCTGATGGTAAGGCCAGAAGGTGGATAGGTGGAACTCTTCAACGGCTAATAGTAGATACTTTGAGCTTGGGCTTATTTTGTTTGATTCGACAAGCGTTAGAATTCTTACTTTACTACTACTGTCTACACTAAAAAGGAAAAAATAAAAACTTTTTAACAAAAAAATAAAAACCGACTTCAAACAAAAGCACTAAAAAGTAAAAAATAACTGATTGGTAGTTTTCATTTACTATACATACCTGATGATGATGATGATGATGTTCTCCTAGCCGATTTCGGCTACGGCGGCCAATCTCATTGAGATTAGCCAACTGCGCAGGAGATATTATAGTGCTCAAGTGTACGCGCAGACACAAGTGCACTCTCTATTCCTATCACTCTCATACTCCGGTGGGACGACCACTCGACACGACCAGTGAGAGTTAAGGCGCAGGACCGACGGCTTTACGTGCTCTCCGAGGCACAGGGGTGAAACACCGCCAACTTCCCAACTCCGGGCTGTTACTGAGACTTACTAGACAGGAAGACTCAATAACTAAACTTGGCCCGACCCGGGACTCGAACCCAGGACCTCCGGGTGTGCAGCCGTACATGCTAGCCACTACACCACCGAGGCAGTAAGGAATAAAAAATAACTGATCAGTAGTTTTCATTTACTATACATACCTAATCAAATATTTTCGAAGTCGGTGTGCTTTGGCTAAGTAATTAAAGCCTACCTATTAAATACATACCTAATCAAATATTTTCGAAATCGGTGCCAGCCCATACAAAGCAAAGCACACCGACTTCGAAAATATTTGATTAGGTATGTATAGTAAATGAAAACTACTAATCAGTTATTTTTTATTCCTTGGCCTTTATAGTAATAATAATAGTAGATATAATAATAATAATGGATAGAATAATAGGGACCTATCTATGCGAGTCACCGTCCGCCAAATATTCAATCTGAGACTGTTGAGAAGTCGAACGTCCGGTAGTCTCGTCGATAAGTCCATTTAAACTCCATTCCATAAGCCTATTTAGTTCATCATATTTTCAATAATTCCTACGCATTATTCGGAGGTCATATTTGGGTAATACGTAGATATTTTAACCCATATAATATAAAAAAAATAATACTTATCTATACCACAGATCACATAATATTATACTAGTACAGATGACTCATAGCATACAAAGAAATTGGACAGCGCTAATTCGGGCTATTTTTGTTCATTTTAATAAATAATAGATGTCGTTGATTCGCGAATAGTTAAACTGTTTTATTTTATAAATATGCGCAAATTAATGAATGGTAAATACTTTAAAATTCATTCTGCATTCGAATAAAAAAAAAAAATCAGTGATTTGATGGTCAAACAGTTCATAAAAAGTAAAAGCGCTATCTGTGAATATACACTACAAAACCGTCATCGATTGCTGATATTTCAATAATCAGTAAAATTACACAGATTGGATTTACGGGCGTGTTATTTCTTTTCCCCTCACTTAGAATATTTTTTGAAACAATAATATACTTTTTTTGGGTGTAATTTTTTTTCTTTTGTTAATTTAACACCACATTAATAACAAATCGACACGTACGACACACGTCATCTATTGACATTTTTTTGAACTAATTTTTTTTTGTCCGTGATGAAACCCCATGTCTATACATTTCAGAGGAAATCATTAGCGAAGAGAATAACTTAGAATATAGCGGTTTGTTCAGTCATTTTGAATAAGAATAGCAAGAAACTAAAACAGATAAACTTCTCGGTATTTATTTCCAATTGTAATGTGTCTTTAATGACATGATTAAATACATACTATCTAAACACAGCTGTGATAGTAGTAAAACATTTTATATTGTACTTATTTAAAAATGTGTATGTTCACTTTTTCGAACGAAGTTCCTTATCGCACGTTACAACTCGGCACACTTGGCAAATGATTTATGAGAGCTAGACGCCGAGACGGAGTAAAGGGTAACTTAATTTGGACGTCACGACACTTTTTATTATTAACTAAGAGCACAGAGATATACCACCAATAAGTACCAGGCGATCATATCTCGTATATGAGACAAGGGCAGCTGCGAAAGGAACTTCGTACCTACGACACCTCTCGACTTATATTCATTTTAAATTTTTCTCATTAATACAAACTATTAACTAATAGGTACATACCTATAGCTTTAAACGTTATTCCAATACAAACTTTAATAATCATGATATCGTAAAAAGTAATTTTAGAGATTATTATCAATCTTTATTAATTAAGGTACTAGTTGTAATATCCGGCGTTGCTCTGATAAAAACAAATTGCACACTCATTCTGTGTCCAACTGACACGCCTAAAAGCTAAATAACAAAGTACTTATTGAATTGAATTGCACGCTCATTAATAATTTATAAAAAAATGTTTTGTTTTAATTAAGACTATTTCTATATCACAAATGTTACAGTACCATATGGATTTACAAGTACACCTTTTCTTTTCTTATGTACACAAAGAAATTGGACGACCCTGATTTGGGAAATTGATGGTATCGATCCACACTGTTAAAACTCAAACTTTATAAATATTACTTTTTATTTTTTAACAAAGTAATAAAAAAGGTACTTACACAGACTAAATTTATTTTTTGATATGGGACCATACCGAGTCCTTTTTTATTAAGGTCAGGAAATGTCATCACCTGTCTACAACAGTCGATGGTTATGTGGGATAGAAATGCCAGTACTACTCACTAAGCGCAATAGACCCTCCCCCATACAGGATACCATTAGGCATTTAACCACGAGTGACCTAATTTTTTCTTTCATTATTAATTTTATATTTAAACTAACTTATATCACGGTAATGTTATACATAAACATTACCGTGCTTATATTGTCGATTGCCTAATTTGGATACTTGATACTTATTATTATTACCTAAAAACCTCATGTAGAATAATATATAGTGCTCATAAATTGAAATCGCTATTTTAACTATTCTATATGTGCGTTTGAGATAAACGACTTTCTTTATCACTTACCAGATAGGGTTTCACTATTATTTCGAAAATTTCTTACTAACGCTTTATATGATTATGTACCTACCTATAGGTAAATATCTGTACCTGCTGCTTCGCCTGCGTTTAAGCCTCCGATCGCTACTAAACTTCACAGGATTATTCACTGGGCTAATCTAAAAATTGCCTGAAAATTTGATCAAAATCGCTCCAGCCGTTTTGGAGTTCGTGGTGAACACACATAGACACATAGATTTTTATTATAAAATATATAATAGAATATATATACGTGCATATTATATACTAGCGACTAAGTACAAAAAACGAATAAGATACTGGAGGAATCGTGCTTGGCGAAAATACTGTGAGTCCATAGAATCGTTTATACAGGCAAACAGAATTCGTAAAATTCTTACCGGACAACCACAGCGGGAACTGGGTTCCTTAAGGAAACCGGACGGCACATATACCAAATCATTGGAAGAAGCACACCGAGTACTTCTGCAGACGCACTTCCCCGACTGCTCAATGATTAACGAAACCAAATGGTTAGATGTCAACCACAACATAACAGACACATCCATGCAACTTGCAACGGAGGTCATAAGCCCAAAGAAAATAGCATGGGCCATTAAAAGCTTTCAGCCCTTCAAGGCACCAGGCCTAGACGGCATTTACCCCGCTTTTATACAATGGGGAGGCCCAAAACTGTTCCATATACTCAATAGAGTATATCAGGCCTGCCTGGCTCTTGGTTACGTACCCAAGACCTGGAGAGAGGTCAAGGTAATCTTCATACCAAAAACCGGCAG